ACATTATATATATATAGTATATTATATATATATATATATATATATATATATATATATATATATATATATATATATATATATATATATATAATGTTATATGTTTATTGTATGTGTATGTAAATATATATATTGTGTGTTTGTTATATATATATATATATACTATATATTATATATATATATATATATATATAAATATATAATATTTATATGTGTATATATATATATATATATTTATATGTGTATATATATATATATTTATATGTGTATATATATAATTATATGTGTATATATATATATATATATGTTATTATATAATATATTATATATTATATATATATATATATATATTTATATATATATATAATATTTATATGTGTATATATATATATATATATATAATATAAATATATTAATATGTATATATATATGTATATATATATTTATATTTATATGTATATATATTATATAGTATTTATATGTGTATATATATATATATTTATATATGTGTATTATATATATATATAATATATATAATATATATATATATTTATATGTGTTATATATATAATATCTATATGTTATATATATATAATATATATTATGTATATATAATATATATAATATATATATATATATATATATATATATTATATATATATATATTTATATGTGTATATATATATATATATTTTATGTATAGTATATATATGTATATATATAATATATATATATATATTATATAGTATAATATATAGTATATATATATTTAATATGTGGTATATAGAATTATATATATATATAGATAATAATATATAATATATAATTATATAATATTTTATGTGATATATATATATATATTATATATATTTTATTTATATTATATATGTATATATATATTTAATTATATATTGTATATATATATATATATATATATATATATATATTATATATATATATTATAATTATATATTATATGTGTGATATATATATACTATATATATATATATATATATATTATATATATGTGTTATATATATATTATATATATATATGATAATATATATATATATATTTATATTGTATATATATATAGATATATATTATATATATATATAATATATATGTATATATATATAATATATATATATATATATATATTAATTATATTTGTATATATATATATATATTATATATTATATGATATATATATATAGTATATATATATATAATATATATATATAATTATATTATACTATTATAATAAATATATATATATATTTATATAAATAATATAATATATATATTATATATATATATATAATATATACTATATATATTTAATGTGTATAATATATAATTAATATATATATAATTTACTATATATATAATATATAGTATATATATATATTTATATGTGTGTAATACCTATATATATTTATATTACTATATATCATATATATATATATATTTATATGTGATATATATATATATATATATATATAATATATATAAATATTTATATGTGTATATATATAATATATATATTTATATGTGTATATATATACTATATATTTATAGTATATATATATATATATTAATATATTACTATATATATATTATATATGTATGTAATAATATATATATTATTTATATGTGGTTATATATATATATATATATATATATATATTATTATATATATATATACTATATATATAAATTATATGTGTATATATATATTTATATGGTTATGTATTAATAATATACATATATAAATACTATTAATTATATTTAATATATATATGTGTATATATATATATATAATATATATAAATATATATATATATTTTATTTAATATGTGTTCTATAGATATATATATATCATATCTGTAATAGTGAACTGGTATATATAGTTTATATGTGTCATATATACTTTATATGTGTAGTATCATATCAATATCCATGTGTTGTATTATATATATCTTTTTAGATGGTGTACTTATATTATTATATTATGTGTACTTAGTAGTGATTTATATGTTATATTTTTATATGTGCATTTATTATATATATATTTATATGTTGTAGTATATAATATATTTATTATGTGAATATTATATACTATTATTTATCATGTGTTATATACTATATATATATTTTATATGTGTATATTATATATATATATTTATATGTGATATATCGTAATCATTATATATTATATGTGTATAGATACTAATCTTATATATATTTATATGTGTAATATATATACTATTACTTATATGCTGAAATAGATATATTTTATATGTGTATATATATGTTTGTATATAGATATATATATGTTTATATGTGCACTACTTATATATTTTATAATGTGTATATATATAATATTTATAGTGTTATATATATATTAGTATGTGCGAAGCTAATATATATTTTTATATGTGGTATATATATTATTTTTATATGTGCTAATATATTATATCTATATGAATGCTATAATATATTATTATAAAATTATGTGTGATAGTATATATTAAATTCATGTGTGATCTATATATATATTTATATGTGTATATTATATTTATATGCTGTATATATATATATGTATTTTTTATATAAATAAAATTTAATTTACTATTAATATTATTAAAAATGATAGTATATATTATATTACTAAATATTATATATAGTTATATATAGATATATATATATATATATTTATATGTCCTAGCATAATATATATATATTTATATGTCTAGCATAATATATATATATTTATATTTTTTTCTAAAGAAATTTATATATATAATAGTTTATAGTCTAGATAATATATATTATAAATCTATATATATTATATAATATAAATATATTATGTTATATAATTATATACTATAATATTATTTATATTCATACTAATATATATTTGTATGATCTATAGTATATAGTATATATAGTATATTATATATATATATATATATTTATATGTCTATCATAGTATATATA